GCTATTTTCAAGTTATTTAAACGACATAGGCTATGTAAGAGCTATTTCTTAAAGCCTCTGTTCATTGTGGACCTTCAGAATATTTCGCCTACTATTGAACTTACCATGAAATAGTTTTTTTGTCGATTTAAATCGTAATAGTTCGTAATTTTTAGCTTAACGTCTTACAAGACATACTTCTAAATGCTACTTTAAATAATTTGTTTATCATCCTGCTATGACAGATATTCGTTCTTAGGTTGATGAAATCTTCTGCCTATTTAAAAATTATATGAATTTTTTGAAATAGTACGAAATTACCAATATTCAAGCGTTAAATGCTTTATTGGTCTAATGTCGAATTTCGGAACTTCTGGAATTTGCAGCTTATTCTACTTACTCAAAAAATTATAATAAAGCCTACTATGTTTTTATCGCTCTTGCTCCCTGATTTTTATAACATATTATGAACGTTTAAGAGGGCATATGGGAAAAATTTTACTAAAAAATTTCATTTTTTTGCATGCTCGATAAGCCATTGCCTAAAATTCGTAAGACTAAAGTATCAGAGATGAATCAGGAATTTGTCATGAAACCTAACTGCTCTATAAAATGGCATTACTCTAGCTTAGACAATTATAGGCTGTATATTTACATAGATTTGCTTCTCTATATGTATACACGTATATATATATATATATATATATGATTACAAAAGTTCAAACTATTTTATTCAATTAACCTTAAAACTGACAATCTATAAATCTACAGCCTCGGATTGGTCTTTCATGCAACCTGAAGGCAGTCCACGAACACGAGCGAACTCAATTGAACTGCTACCAAGCCTTTCAGAACTTCAATTCTACAAACCGAATAGATCCGTCTCCCAGCCTCCCTCTAACAACTCAGAAAAGTTACTTCAACCCTCTTTGCCTTTTTCGCTAGTCTCCGACACTATTAACTCATTGACTACTAGCTGCAGTCTCATTCCCGATGTCGACGATGATGTGTGCAACAGAAAATATGTAGAAACCTCTCCTAACGTCCTCATTGGCAAGGCTAGACGGCGCCGCGGTCTTAAAGAGCCGAAGGTTGGTGCGTCTCAGTCTGAAACGACTTCGGCTGAAGAGCCCTCGGCCTTTAACTCCGAAATTATTGCAGCCGAGTCTCTCTCTAAAACTCAGGCTTTACAAACTCTGACTTCGCCTTACAAGGCTTGTCCAACATCTGCATCTATGTTAAAGAATCCGCATGCTTTTTTAGCTACAAGACATATCCGATGTCATCCAAGCCACCATCGCTGCCATACTAATCACATGCAGCCACGGAAAAATCACCATTGTAAGCAGATTGTCCAAATGCTAAGCGCGATCAATGGCAAGTCCAGCAGACTCCAAAATACAACCCAGAGCCTGGCAGGTGGTCGCCATCGGCACACAATTTCGCCTTTTGGTGCTAGCAAGCATCAGATAAAGTGCCTAAGACGGGGGGCCAAAATTGGCCATGGTTTTCAGCGCCAACAATTTAAGTTTCTTCCCGGTGGATCTGGTATAATGACGTAAAACCGATGTACTGGATCTTAGTGACCTACCGCGTATCTATTGTAACAGCTTGGCTAGCTGAGTGTTTAGTTATTAATATTTATCCTTAGCAAGTTATTGGGATCTCTAATTGGGGTCAAGTTTGCGTAAATTGGAGCTTATCAGTATATTTATTTACTATGCATAGACTTGGTTATCTTTACTTTTTCGACTTCAATGCATGCTTATACATATTCGTAGCGCTTTCATTTATCCTGATATTTTAACTGAGAATCC